GGGGGAGATTGGTGGGGAGGGGGGTAGAGATGGCCGGGAGGGGGGGGGAGAATGGTGGGGAGGGGGGAGGAGACTGGTGGGGAGGGGGGGGAGAGACTGGTGGGGAGGGGGGGGAGACTGGCCAGGAGGGGGGGGGGAGAATGGTGGGAGGGGGCGAGACTGGTGGGGAGGGGGGGGAGAGGACTGGCGGGAGGGGGGGGGGGGGGAGAATGGTGGGGAGGGGGGAGGACTGGTGGGGAGGGGGGGGGAGGGACTGGCCAGGAGGGGGGGGGGGAGACTGGTGGGGAGGGGGAGACTGGTGGGGAGGGGGGGGAGAGGACTGGCCGGGAGGGGGGGAGAGACTGGCCGGGAGGGGGGAGAGACTGGCCGGGAGGGGGGGGAGACTGGCCGGGAGGGGGGGGAGACTGGTGGGGAGGGGGAGGGAGACTGGTGGGGAGGGGGAGGGAGACTGGCCGGGAGGGGGGGGGGACTGGTGGGGAGGGGGGGGAGACTGGTGGGGAGGGGGAGGGAGACTGGCTGGGAGGGGGGGAGAGGACTGGTGGGGAGGGGGGGGAGAGACTGGCCGGGAGGGGGAGGGAGCTGGTGGGGAGGGGGGGGAGACTGGTGGGGAGGGGGGAGAGACTGGTGGGGAGGGGGGGGAGGACTGGCCGGGAGGGGGGGGGGAGCTGGTGGGGGAGGGGGGGAGGAGACTGGTGGGGAGGGGGGGGGAGACTGGTGGGGAGGGGGGGGAGACTGGCGGGAGGGGGGGGGAGACTGGTGGGGAGGGGGGGGGAGACTGGTGGGGAGGGGGGGGGGAGACTGGTGGGGAGGGGGGGGAGACTGGCCGGGAGGGGGGGGGAGGACTGGTGGGGAGGGGGGGAGAGGACTGGTGGGGAGGGGGGGAGAGACTGGCGGGAGGGGGAGGGAGACTGGTGGGGAGGGGGGGGGAGACTGGTGGGGAGGGGGAGGGAGACTGGTGGGGAGGGGGGGGAGAGACTGGTCGGGGAGGGGGGGGAGAGGACTGGCCGGGAGGGGGGGGGCGACTGGTGGGGAGGGGGGGGAGACTGGTGGGGAGGGGGGGAGGACTGGTGGGGAGGGGGGGAGACTGGCCGGAGGGGGGGGGGAGACTGGTGGGGAGGGGGGGGAGACTGGTGGGGAGGGGGGGGGGAGACTGGTGGGGAGGGGGGGGAGAGACTGGTGGGGAGGGGGGGAGAGATGGTGGGGAGGGGGGGGGGAGACTGGTGGGGAGGGGGGGGGAGACTGGTGGGGAGGGGGGGGGGAGACTGGCGGGAGGGGGGGGGAGATGGTGGGGAGGGGGGGGGAGACTGGTGGGGAGGGGGGGGAGACTGGCGGGAGGGGGGGGGGAGACTGGTGGGGAGGGGGGGGAGACTGGTGGGAGGGGGGGGGAGACTGGCCGGGAGGGGGGGGGAGGACTGGTGGGGAGGGGGGGGAGACTGGCGGGAGGGGGGGGGGAGAGACTGTGGGGAGGGGGGAGAGACTGGCTGGGAGGGGGGGGGAGTCTGGTGGGGAGGGGGGGGGGAGACTAGCTGGGAGGGGGGGGAGAGGACTGGTGGGGAGGGGGGGGAGACTGGCTGGGAGGGGGGGGGAGACTGGTGGGGAGGGGGGGGAGACTGGCTGGGAGGGGGGGGGGAGACTGGTGGGGAGGGGGGGGAGACTGGCTGGGAGGGGGGGGGGGGAGACTGATGGGGAGGGGGGAGAGACTGGTGGGGAGGGGGGGGAGACTGGTGGGGAGGGGGGGAGAGACTGGCCGGGAGGGGGGGGGGGGACTGGTGGGGAGGGGGGGGAGACTGGCTGGGAGGGGGGGGGAGACTGGTGGGAGGGGGGGGAGACTGGTGGGGAGGGGGGGGAGACTGGTGGGGAGGGGGGGGAGAGGACTGGCTGGGAGGGGGGGGGGAGACTGGTGGGGAGGGGGGGGAGACTGGTGGGGGAGGGGGGGGAGACTGGCCAGGAGGGGGGGGAGACTGGTGGGGAGGGGGGGAGGAGACTGGTGGGGAGGGGGGGGGAGACTGGCCAGGAGGGGGGGGGAGACTGGTGGGGAGGGGGGGGAGACTGGTGGGGAGGGGGGAGAGACTGGCCGGGAGGGGGGGGGGGAGACTGGTGGGGAGGGGGGGGAGACTGGCCGGGAGGGGGGGGGGGAGACTGGTGGGGAGGGGGGGGAGACTGGTGGGGAGGGGGGGGAGACTGGTGGGAAGGGGGGGGAGACTGGCTGGGAGGGGGGGGAGAATGGCCGGGAGGGGGGGGAGACTGGTGGGGAGGGGGGGGAGACTGGTGGGGAGGGGGGGAGACTGGCCAGGAGGGGGGGGGGGAGACTGGTGGGGAGGGGGGGGAGACTGGTGGGGAGGGGGGGGAGACTGGCCAGGAGGGGGGGGGGGAGACTGGTGGGGAGGGGGGGGAGACTGGTGGGGAGGGGGGGAGACTGGCCGGGAGGGGGGGAGGAGACTGGCCAGGAGGGGGGGGGGAGACTGGTGGGGAGGGGGGGGAGACTGGTGGGAAGGGGGGGGAGACTGGTGGGGAGGGGGGGAGACTGGTGGGGAGGGGGGGGGAGACTGGTGGGGAGGGGGGGAGAGACTGGTGGGGAGGGGGGAGACTGGTGGGGAGGGGGGGGGAGACTGGTGGGGAGGGGGGGGAGACTGGTGGGGAGGGGGGGGAGACTGGTGGGGAGGGGGGGGAGACTGGTGGGGAGGGGGGGGGAGACTGGTGGGGAGGGGGGGGAGACTGGTGGGGAGGGGGAGGAGACTGGCCGGGAGGGGGGGGGAGACTGGTGGGGAGGGGGGGGAGAGGACTGGCCGGGAGGGGGGGGGAGACTGGTGGGGAGGGGGGGGAGACTGGTGGGGAGGGGGGGGAGAGACTGGTGGGGAAGGGGGGGGGAGACTGGTGGGGAGGGGGGGGAGACTGGTGGGGAGGGGGGGAGAGACTGGTGGGGAGGGGGGGGAGAGACTGGTGGGGAGGGGGAGGGAGACTGGTGGGGAGGGGGGGGAGACTGGTGGGGAGGGGGGGAGAGACTGGTGGGGAGGGGGAGGGAGACTGGTGGGGAGGGGGGGAGAGACTGGTGGGGAGGGGGGGGAGACTGGTGGGGAGGGGGGGAGAGACTGGTGGGGAGGGGGGGAGAGACTGGTGGGGAAGGGGGGGGGAGACTGGTGGGGAGGGGGGGAGACTGGTGGGGAGGGGGGGAGAGACTGGTGGGGAGGGGGAGGGAGACTGGTGGGGAGGGGGGGGAGAGACTGGCGGGAGGGGGGGGGAGACTGGTGGGGAGGGGGGGAGAGACTGGTGGGGAGGGGGGGGAGACTGGTGGGGAGGGGGGGAGGGAGGACTGGTGGGGAGGGGGGGAGAGACTGGTGGGGAGGGGGGGAGAGACTGGTGGGGAGGGGGGGAGAGACTGGTGGGGAGGGGGGGGGAGACTGGTGGGGAGGGGGGGGAGGAGACTGGTGGGGAAGGGGGGGAGAGACTGGTGGGGAGGGGGGGAGAGACTGTGGGAGGGGGGAGAGACTGGTGGGGAGGGGGGGGGAGACTGGTGGGGAGGGGGGGGAGACTGGTGGGGAGGGGTGGGAGACTGGTGGGGAGGGGGGGGAGACTGGTGGGGAGGGGGGGGGAAACTGGTGGGGAGGGGGGGGAGGCTGGCTGGGAGGGGGGGGGGAGACTGGTGGGGAGGGGGGGGAGACTGGTGGGGAGGGGGGGGAGACTGGTGGGGAGAAGGGGGAGACTGGCTGGGAGGGGGGGGAGACTGGTGGGGAGAAGGGGGAGAATGGCCGGGAGGGGGGGGAGACTGGTGGGGAGGGGGGGGAGACTGGTGGGGAGGGGGAGACTGGTGGGGAGGGGGGGAGACTGGTGGGGAGGGGGGGGGAGACTGGTGGGGAGGGAGACTGGTGGGGAGGGGGGGGAGACTGGTGGGGAGGGGGGGGGGGAGACTGGTGGGGAGGGAGGGGAGACTGGTGGGGAGGGGGGGGGAGAATGGCCGGGAGGGGGGGGGAGACTGGTGGGGAGGGGGAGGGAGACTGGCTGGGAGGGGGGGGAGACTGGTGGGGAGGGGGGGGGAGACTGGTGGGGAGGGGGGGGGAGACTGGTGGGGAGGGGGGGGAGACTGGTGGGGAGGGGGGGGAGACTGGTGGGGAGGGGGGGGGGGACTGGTGGGGAGGGGGAGGGAGACTGGCTGGGAGGGGGGGGGAGACTGGTGGGGAGGGGGGGGAGACTGGCTGGGAGGGGGGGGAGACTGGTGGGGAGGGGGGGGAGACTGGTGGGGAGGGGGGGAGAGAATGGCCGGGAGGGGGGGGGGAGACTGGTGGGGAGGGGGGGGAGACTGGTGGGGAGGGGGAGGGAGACTGGTGGGGAGGGGGGGGAGACTGGCTGGGAGGGGGGGGGAGACTGGTGGGGAGGGGGGGGAGACTGGCTGGGAGGGGGGGGGAGACTGGTGGGGAGGGGGGGGAGACTGGCTGGGAGGGGGGGGGGAGACTGGCTGGGAGGGGGGGGGGGAGAGACTGGCCAGGAGGGGGGGGAGACTGGTGGGGAGGGGGGGGAGACTGGTGGGGAGGGGGGGGAGACTGGTGGGGAGGGGGGGGGGGGGAGACTGGCCAGGAGGGGGGGGGAGACTGGTGGGGAGGGGGGGAGACTGGTGGGGAGGGGGGGGAGACTGGCTGGGAGGGGGGGGGAGGGGGGGAGACTGGTGGGGAGGGGGGGAGACTGGTGGGGAGGGGGGGGAGACTGGACAGGAGGGGGGGGGAGACTGGTGGGGAGGGGGGGGAGACTGGTGGGGAGGGGGGGAGACTGGTGGGGAGGGGGGGGGAGAATGGCCGGGAGGGGGGGGGAGACTGGTGGGGAGGGGGGGGGAGACTGGGTGGGGAGGGGGGGGGGGGAAATTGGCCGGGAGGGGGGGAGACTGGCGGGGAGGGGGGGGGGGGACTGGGTGGGGAGGGGGGGAGATTGGCCGGGAGGGAGACTGGTGGGGAGGGGGGGGGACTGGCTGGGTGGGTGGAAATGGGATAACGGTGAGGAGGGAAGGGACATACCCGGCTGCGCTCCACCTCCTTGGTCGTCATGACGATGACACGCGAGTTCTCCTGGTACACCATCCTCCAGAAGTCCACGATGGTGTTCTGTAGGCAGCCCTGCGTTGCTATGTACCGTTTCGGCGCTTTGCTGCCCACTCGCCCATTGTCGATGTCTGCCTGCTTACACAAATACAATGATCCCCCGTGTAGCCTTAACAGACTGTAGGGACAAGTGCTGTTAGTGAGTGCCTATTAAGGCCAGAAAGACACACGAGGGGGTGGCTGGCCAGCACCACGCCCGATCGCCTTTGTCTCCCTATTGGCGATTTTTACACACCACGCCAGGTACTCATTTGAGGCCGAGTCGACGGGTTCAAATAATCGTCACTGGTGTTGGCCATCATTGGGAATCAAACTCGGGTCGCGGGTTTGTAGTACAGCGCGTGTGCTGCACTACCGCTCCCCGCAAACGCAGACACACACGCACACTCGTGAGCACATACCCACGCACAGGGATGCGTGCGCTGACACAAGACAAAGATACCACGTGGCCCCCACACGGGCTGTTGTTGGTGAGCTCCTACGAAGGTTGACGCTGCGCACAAAAGGGGGTGGTGGGGGTGTCGCGATTGTCTTCTCAGTGCTCATAATTACATACCGCATTAGGGACTCATTTAAGGCGGATTGGGCCTAGAGGAGGCACCACGACAGGTCCAGAGACTCACCGCTTATATTAGTCCTGGCCATAAATTGAATGTTTTGGGGGGATTTGTTTGCCTTCCTTGCAGCTTGCACTGCTATCGTGTCTTTATATTGTTTGTTGTTCCATCGTTCTGAACCGCCCCTACTGGACATCTGTGAACGAGAGTTTTAAAGCGCATCGGAGGATTCCTCCAGCAAAATTAAATACTCCGATTCTGAACTCAAGGACCACGGAATTTAACAAAGATCTTCGCGATCGGAACGACATGCCCAAAACTCCAGCATCCATGCAAATGAAAAAAAAGGTCATCCCACAAATGAGAATTCTAATAGTGCTGGAATACACGTGGGGGCAGGCTGGCCGACGTGCCTGCGCCGCGTGGTTTGTGTTATTTATAGAGACTTGTTTTTGCTGGACCTTTTCCCAGGAGACTCACTGTGATCACGTTGGCGTTGATGTAGTCGGAGCCAGGAATGGACTGATCACCATCCTTCAGAATCACCCTGTTGTGATCGACTGAAAAACAACACGGCAACGACAACAATGACGAGACTCTCCGTGGCACCCACCTAAAAAATAAAACACTCGTTGCGTGGCACAAAGGCAGGTTGCTAAATGTTAAGGATATTGCAGTCCAGTGGATGGCGATGAGATTTAAAAACCTACAATGCCCTTTGAACCTATGTTGCACTTAACCCTTTCCCATTACAATGATGTACGTGTCCGTTGTAAGTTTTTCTTCCGATTCCGTTCCGATGATGTACGTGTACGTCATGGGAAAGGATCGTACGTCATCGGAATGGAATCAGAAGAAAAAATGAAATAACTTTATCGGTACCGAGGCTCCCACGAGGCCATGCGGGAGGGCGTGTGGCACAGTTTGGCGCCAGCTATCGTAGAGTGTGGTCGTGTCCCGACAGTTCTCTGCCGTGAGTACAATGTCTTCAAAAAAACAGCGGTGCCATGCCTCTCTAGATACAATTAACGCGTTCCGGGATTCAGCGATGAACTGGACCCACTCTGCATTTTGCAGACATCTTGTCATGGGAAAGGGTTAATTGAATATTGCTGTTTTGGTACGAGGGCATTCGGGGCCACATAGTGGGCCAGTAAAATGCTTGAGCAATAACCAATGTTGTACCGGATGTCTACACTTCCACATGTCTGCTTCCAGCCTTCTCCAAACCTCACACTGATCAACATGGTGAAGTATGGTCAAATAACCCCCACAACCTGCACAGGAGTGGATTATACAAAAGGGCCGTGCGTAGCAGTTACTAGCATTTTGCGTGATTTTACATTGTTTTATTTTGAGTTGGAGGTGGCTAAATTTTCCACGATAACCAGAAAATTACACGTAGGCTACGCTTCCTATTACAGATTAGCAGCACACGCAATGATATTTGCTACCATGGGTAAACATTACTCCCATGATAAAACACATTCCATATTATTGTTTCGCGCCTTACGAAAAAAAAACGATATTTCCTACAACGGATAAGCACACACCGAGGAGAACAGAGTGCACAGAATTACCGCAGCAAACGTTGTAAAAGATTGCTTATCTAAACCTTAAGATTAAACAGATTGCATTCATGCCCAACATGTTGTCATCTCGGTCACACATGCCGTGTTAGCTTATGAGATAGCACTATTGGTGTCGACAGAATGATGGAATAACATTGACAGGTTGGTCTATGTCTACGTTAACAGATGGAAATTGAAAGATTTACAGACAGATGGAGATACGCAGACTGGTAGCCCGATGGACAAGCATAAATCCATACAATTAACATACCTACAGATGTAAATACATATTTACACAAATACATACACTCAATTACAGAATGGCAGATGGATAAAGAAGACAAATAAAACAACAGACATGTGTCCTCACCCAGCCCAGGGTAAAATTGACAAGTTCGAATACTACAAGGCTCCTCACTTTATTAAAGAAAACCAGAGGAACATTCACAATCAACTGGCATTAGTTGTTGACTTGACAAATACACGGGTTGCTAATGGGTGGAGCTGCATCAGTGGTTCACCCACAAAGCCATGCACCCGGAAAACCTGAGTTTGATTCCTGGCTACGGCTACCTCGGGTGGCGAGCGACATCTGAACGGGTTCCTGGGTTACCACCCCCACCCCATTCGCAAACTCGCACTGAGCAGCGCGGTGAAGTACGGTCAAACAAAGGCTAAGACCAACACAACTCGGCGGCGGTGGGGGGGGGGGAGTTTCCCTTCCATCCAGCAGTGGATTGACAAAAAACTGGAGGTTTACACAGCATCGGCGCGGTGTCACGAGCCACCCTTTGCCCAGCGAAGGAGTCTCACTCCCAAGAAAAACACGACTTTCCAGAAAAACACAACAGCAAGACTGGGCATGAGTGGAGATCTGGTGACCTCAGCGCCATTTCCCCATGCTGCGTTATCAGCATTTCACCGCACTAGTTCACTGCTTTATCCTGTGTGTGTGCTTGTGTATATATTTACGTGGGAGTGGTAGTGTAGCGGTTAGCTATGCTGTGTTACGAACCAGGCGACCCGAGTTCGATTCCCGCTCACGGCCAACACCAGTGACGATTATCTGAACCGGTCATGGGCCTCCGCTAGGTCGCCTCAGCCCCAAATGAGTACCTGGTGTGGTGTGTAAACTTCGCAACTGGGGAGACAAAGGCGGTCGGGCGTGGTGCTGGCCACCCACCCCCTCGTGTACCGTTCTAGCCTTCATAGGTGCTCGCTAACAGCACTTGTCGCAACAATCTGTTATGGCTATACTGGGTGTCTTTGTCTTTTCGGTATATGTATATCTATATAAAATTAAACCAATGCTAAGTGGCACATGACTTGTGCTTGCCAGCGATGCCACGAATGACTTCACTCGCCCGAGACAAAATTACCCCGCATTCACCAAGTCTCAGAACACGCGAAGCAGGGTTTTGCCCGATTAGTCCTTTGGACGGGAAGACCACCAGGGCTTGTAAGGTGTCCTAGGGTAAGGATGTTAAGTGGCCAGGAGATAGCAGTGTCGGGTGTAAAACACTCATGTGCATGGGTATTCTCTGGGCTCTCTGGTTGCCTCCTAACTCCACAAACAATACGGCATAAGCAATGCATACGGAGATGTAACAGCTCGGGCTAATGTGCAGCTGTCTCAGCACTAAGAGGCCCTCTGTGCGTACAGGGTGTGGAGGGGTCTTGGAGACAGAGGGTTACACAGGCACATCGGACAAAAACTGACAAGTGTGGAGAGGTGCCTGGTGAGAATATCAGAAAATCTAACTCGTGACTCGGTAACACAAAATAGAGCCTTCATATTGGCTGTAAAAAAAAAAGTGCGCTTGGGTTAGTGAGAGTGATACCAGTGGGCATAGAAGTTTAAAACGGGGATCTTGACTGTGAAGACGGGCAGCCAATATCAAACTTCAAAAGATTAGTGGCCAGGAGGGGGGGGGGGTCTTTCTGTGGGCCAACATCATGTGACTGCGACGAGTCATCAACACCGCGCTCCTGGGCTTCAATCGCAGGCTTCAGCCCCCTGCGAATCAACCGGGTTCTCAAGTGCAGCGAGTGAGTTGATGTGAAATATCCGACGACTGAATAAAAAAACGCCCCGTTAAATGTTCCAACGTACTTTGGCGCATTTCTTTCCGAGGACTAAAACATTCAGTTTGATTACCAAGTGAAAAAATAACATTATTTGCAGAGGATATAAAATACGTACAGATAATTTCACGAGCTATGAAGAAGGGCGATTGCATACCTGTCAACCCATACGGTTTACCCTGTATTCTTGTGCAGGGAAATAGAGTTTTCAGGTCCATATTAGTGTACAGTCGTGTCAATACAGGCGACAAAAATAAATTTTTGTCTATTTGTTTGTGTTTCTCCCTTGTGATGAGACTTTGTAAGATGAACATTGAGATTTATAAGGGCACGGGGTGACCAATAAGATCTGAAATGGTCTGTAATAAGGTAGACACTGAGAAGGGGCTTCCAGGTGGGCGATTGCCCGAAACGTCACCTATTCTCATTTTTTTCCTTTTAATGCCAGTGTTATTGATGAATGCGTAGATTTTTATATATATAAAAACAAGACGTACCTTATAAGAGTGTGGCCAGAGACAAAAATACAAAAAATATATAGTCTTGAATCGATTGGCAACCGCCAATCGTGACAATTCATCAACTCGCAATCGATGGAGCCGGCGATATTCGCAAAGTGCGCCAAGGGTGAACTTTGTCCCGAGTGCACGGATGTGCAGAGACGGCACCCCCGCGGATCTCAGTCACGGGGAAGACCTGCAGATTTGCTGCTGCTGACGACATTACTTGCCGCTGGAGGAATCGCCACCAGCATTGACGCAGCGACAAACGTGTGCCAACGCGACGCCAATCAAGCCGATTGCTCAGCAGCTCGAGCGTGCCTCTGGGACGCGGTGGACACGAGAGAGGGTTGGGGGCGGGGGGGGCGGGGGGGGGGGCATTCCGCCCACGCTTACACGGCAGGATGTTCTTGTAGCGGTTCTTGGCTTTGCTCTCCGGCCTCTGCCCCTCTTTGCGGCTGTAGAGAAGTTTGCATTCCTGCTGCTGCAGAGCCTGGGGGAGAGGGGGGCGGCAAAGACAAGCGATGATAAGGAGACCTCACGTTGGTTTGCACTGGTGTGGCGTGATGAGCATGAACTCTGGTGCAAGGGTTGAAATGGGGGCACCCAGTCTAGTTGCTGTTGCGACGGCGTTTTGTTGTCGTTTACACCTTTTGTTTTCATGGCATTCCTTGTTCCGTTTATTCAAAAAAATGTCCTTAGGGTTTTCATTTACTCAAGAATTGTTATAAATAGGACGTATCCCTTATATATACAACTAGCGGAAGTACCCGGCTTTGCCCGGGTGAAAAATATATTTCTTAAAAACCTTACATATATATACACAGATACTAAGGTATTGTCAAAGCCCGGTGGGCTGTTTGTACATTTCTCCACCAACAAATATATAAGAGGCTTTCACAAGTCCAAAAAGTTGTAGAAAGTGTAGGGTAAATAGTTGATGTCAAAATGTTTCCGAAAATTGTGGTCTCCCCCCCCCCCCCTCAAAAAATATCTTTACCCCTCGTAGGTATATATACTAACAACACCTTACATACAACAGAGGAAGTGGTATCTATTGACTCTGTAGTAGTATCTACTGACTGTACCGTAGTATCTACTGAGCGAGTAGTAGCTACTGACTGTGTAGTAGTATTTAGTGACTGTAATAACTACTTACTGGGCCTACAGTAGTATCTACCGACTATATACTCGTAACGACTAACTGTATAGTATCTGCTGACTCTAAAGTAGTATCCACTGACTATAGTAGTAACTACAAAATCTATAGCAGTATCTACTCACTCTATAATAGAATCTACTGACTCTAGTAGCTACTCACCGTGGTAGTATGTACTGACTGTATAGTAGTATATACTGACTGTAGCAGTATTGACTGACTGTAGTGGTATATACTGATTGTTTTAGTATTTACTATAGCGGTATCTACCAACTCGATAGCAGTATCTACTATCACTACAGCAGTGTATACCGACTGAGGTTGTACCTGCTATCACTACAGCAGTGCATACTGCTGTGTTGGTACCTGCTATGATTACAGCAGTGCATACTGCTGTGTTGGTACCTGCTATGATTACAGCAGTGCATACTGCTGTGGTGGTATCTGCTATGATGAGAGGAGTACATATTGTGGTGGTGGTACCTGGTATGATAACAGCAGTGCATATTGACTGTACTCATCATTCACCCTCACCATTCACCACTCACAACTCACCCTTACCACTCATCCTCACCACTCACCACTCCCACTCACTATTCACCCTCACAACTCACCACTCACCAACCTCCCTCACCAATCTCCCTCACCACTCACCCTCACCACTCACCCGCACCACTCACCCTCACCACTCACCAATCACCACTCACCAATCACTCTCACCACTAACCCTCACCACTAACCCTCACCACTCTCACTCTCCCTCACCACTCACCACTCACTCTCACCATTCACCCTCACCACTCACCCTCACCACTCACCGTCACAACCACCACTCACCCTCACCACTCAACTTCACCCTCACTACTCACCATTCATCCTCACCAATCACCACTGACCAATCACCACTCACCACTCTCCACTAACCCTCACCACTCAACCTCACCACTCACCCTCAAAACTAACCACTCTCTCACCACTCATTCTCACCACTCACCCTCACAACAACCACTCACCCTCACCACTCATCCTTACCAATCACACCCTCACCAATCACCACTCACCCGCACTGCTCACCCTCACCACTCACCCCTCACTAATCACCACTCATAACCGCCACTCACCCTCAACACTCACCGTCACCACTCACCCTCACTACTCACCCTCACTACTCACCACTCATCCTCACCAATCACACCCTCAACAATCACCACTCACCCCTCACCCTCACCACTCACTCCTCACCCTCACAACAACCACTCACCCTCACCGCTCAGCACTCACCCTCACTACTCACCCTCACCACTCACCACTAATCCTCACCAATCACACCCTCACCAATCACGACTCACCCTCACCACTTGCCACTCACCCTCACCACTCACCCTCACCATTCACCCTCACCACTCTCCCTCACCACTCTCCCTCACCACTCTCCCTCACCACTCACCAGTCACGCTCACCACTCACCACTCACCCTCAACACTCACCCTCACCACTCACCCTGACCACTCACCACTCATCCTCACCAATCACACCCTCAACAATCACCACTCACCCTCACCACTCACGCTCAACACTCACCCTCACCACTCACTAATCACCTCTCACAACCGTCACTCACCCTCACCACTCACCCTCACCACTCACCCTCACAACAACCACTCACCCTCACTACTCATCCTCACCAATCGCACCCTCACCAATCACCACTCACTGCTCACCCTCACCGCTCACCACTCAACCTCACCCTCACCACTCACGCTCACCCTCACCACTCACCTCTCACTAATCACCACTCACAACTGCCACTCACCCTCCCCACTCACCCTCACCACTCACCCTCACCATTCACCCTCACCATTCACCCTCACCACTCACCCTCACCATTCACCCTCACCATTCACCCTCACCACTTTCCCTCACCACTCTCCCTCACCACTCTCCCTCACCACTCACCAGTCACGCTCACCACTCACCCTCACTACTCACCACTCACCCTCAACACTCACCCTCACCGCTCACCACTCACCCTCACTCACCCTCACCGCTCACCACTCACCCTGACTACTCACCACTCATCCTCACCAATCACATCCTCACCAATCACCACTCACCCTCACTGCTCACCCTCACCGCTCACCCTCACCACTCACGCTCACCCTCACCCCTCACTAATCACCACTAACAACCGCCACTCACCCTCCCCACTCACCCTCACCAATCACCACTCAACCTCACCACTCAACCTCACCCTCACCACTCACCCTCACCCTCACCACTTACCCTCACCCTCACCACTCACCACTCAACCTCACCCTCACCACTCAACCTCACCCTCACCACTCACCCTCACCCTCACCACTCACCCTCACCACTCTCCCTCACCACTCTCCCTCACCACTCTCCCTCACTACTCTCCCTCACCACTCTCCCTCACCACTCTCCCTCACCACTCTCCCTCACCACTCTCCCTCACCACATGTAAAGGGCGATCCTAAAGGAATCTACAACCTTCGATGATTCCTTTGCGCGATTCAAAGAATCGATTCCTGGCGCATAGGAGGTTTCCATTTTTAATTACAGAGTTAAATTTTCATTCGTATGTTATGTTTTAAAGTTTTCAGGAGTTTTTAATTATATTTTAGCCCCGGTCAACGCCGGATATTTCCCATTCGTAGCAGTTTATATCAACTCTATAACCAACTTATATTAAACGGAAATAAGGCGATTCTAAATGAATCTACAACCGTCCATTCCTTTTCACGATTCAGAGAATCGATTCTTGGCGCGGTCGGGTTTAGAATTTTAATTACACAGTTGTATTTTCATTGGTATGTTATGTTTTAAAGTTTTCAGAAGATTTTAAATGTATTTTTCCCCCGGGCAACGCTGGGTATATCGAGTTTATACCACAAAGTCGTCGCCTGACAGAGTTGCGTGTCGAGGCCTAGTACCGTGCAGAGCCTCTGGCCTCGCCTAGATTGCCCACCCGGCTGAGGCTGGGTGCTGGGGCCGTTACCCCCCCCCCCCCGCGCTACAATAATACTGTCTAATCGCTATAATTTTATTATCTACCGACCCTATAATAGTAATTGCACACATTGGGGTGGAAGGGGAGTGAAGAGGACGTGAAACTTTGATGAATTTACCTCAGAGTCGCGTGTTATTGCGTGCGCATATTTTTAACGGGAATTAAAAATGGCGTCCACCCCGCAGCGAAGTTGTTGCTACCCGTTGCCAGGGGCAACCGCCGTGCTCCTGCGCCGGACCGGCAATATTAAATAAATAAATAAAGGTTTAAATAAATAACTGAAGAGAAATCAGCACTAAATCGATAATCGGGCCGATTTAAAGTTTAGAGACGAAAAATCGGAAAAGCCTAAGTTTACCGCGGGCCGGGGGCGTTCCCACCTGCAAAATTTAATCTCGGCGAACCCCACGGTCCGAGAGCTAAATCCCCCGGAAGGGAGCGTACGCAGACGTATGGACAGACAGACAGACAAAAAATGAATTATATAGGTTAGATTATTGTACGGCACTGCGAGATGCAATTGGCATGAATGATGCCGTATAAAATGAAATGATCATCATTAACTGGTACAATTTTCACCCTTTATTTGTAGCACAACACCTGGGCCCCCTCCAGTGCAGTTGCACCACCTGTACGCGCTCAAGAGATATGCCACAGAGCTCGCCGTTGGCATGGTCAGATGACAGGCTGTGTAGATACTAAGAGCGGTTTTTCCCTCCGCATTTAGAAACGTGCGTTCAGAGTAACTGGCTGCTGTAAATTTCCACGTAACAAGCCACTTTGTTGGGTTATCATTTGTGGCAAGGTTGCTTCTAAAAAAAGAACTATATAGCTCAGTGGGCCTTACCTGATAAAATAAAAATAGTTTTTCATTGTTTAGTTTATATAACAATCCGTTATCAATCCACTGCTGGATAAAGGCCTCCACAACCCTTTGCGGGTCTTGTGGGATTGTTTGGCTATGCTGGTCAGTGTGGATTGAAGGTAGGTAGCACACACCCGAGCACACAGAAGTACAGTACAACAATTTATTTTTTTACACTGCTCTCTGCTGCCAACAGCGTAGTAACCCCACTTAGGAGGCCTCGCAATCCGAAATCACACCACATTGTGAATTAAATTTTTGGAAGACCAAAAGACAAATTGTGAATGAATGCGAGCACTATGTCTCAATATAGGGAACGCCCTTACAGCTCCCCATGGGAAACACGGAGTGTGACCGGCGGATATCAATCGCACGTTAATTCACAGCGGTTTAGTTTTTTTCGTCGCTCATTAATGATTCACGACGGCAAGAGGAGAGAGAAGAGCTCGCAAAGTCGCGGGGGATGGAGGGTGGTGGAATAAACATCGGTGGTGGGTGGCTATAGCCAAGGGTTCTCAGTGCCCTCCATTGTCTGTCTTGTCTCTTTAAAAGCCGTGTGCTCTTCAAGAGATGGGAACGACTGCAGTGGATGCCGAACCGTTCCGTACGCGACCGACGGCGAGGCGCTCTACCCCGACCACCCCACACCCGTGCCAAGGATTCTAATAAAAGGCAGCTGATGGCAGCATGTGATGCCTTCGCTGCCCTCCCATGCCCCCATTGTTTGCCTTAACACGAAGTGGCATTCATCGTTGTCGGCCATTATAAATCCACTGCTCGATTGGGTGGGGGCCTCTCCAAGGCATCACAATCTTTTACGGTCTCACGGCAGAACAATCCATCGAGCGCCTGCACACTAGCCAAATTCATCGTTCCGTCTCTGCGGTAGATGTCCTGTCAGGCGTGTTCGTTCCTGCAGCTGCCACTCCGTCGTTAATCCCGACCACCGAGCCACCAACCCTTCTAGCGACACATCCCGCCATAGATCACTTACTTTTCTTAACACCTTTCACCTCAATGTCGTCTAATTAATGTGTTACTCTCTATCTCTCTCTACGGCATTCCAAGCGTGCGTCTAGCCGTGCTTCTCTGTACTTTTTGGCAGCCGCAGTTGCCTCTGTGTAGCCAGGTAAGCACATGTCGGGGACAACGAGTGAGTCACATGCTGTTGCTGCTTATCGCTGAAAAGCGGTGGGAAACCTGCTTAAATGGGCAGGAAATTGTGGGGAAGAGAGAAAAAAAATCCGCTGTTTCCCCCCCCCCCCAGTTACTGATTGGAATAAACTGCCTTTCATTTAACGGGTGAATTGGATCGTGACTCATTGCAAAGGAGGAAAGGAGCAAACACAAAGGCCCACAGAAAACAGGTGCAACATTAGAGAGCAGCACACAAAACGTGGAAGCCAGGAAGGAATATGAAAACAAAAACAAGTGAGGACGCGCAAAAACTAACTGTGCAAACTAACGTAGAAGAAATCCGAGTTTCATCCCAACCGTTCAATTCGAGATGTTGAATTTAAAACCAAAAGTAGACACGAGAAGCATTCAATGATGCCACTTAAGTTAAAATAATTTAATCAGTAAATAACAAACCTAAATACCGTTTTTCTGATTGGCAAACATCACCAGTAGAAACTTCCTGAGCAAATATTCAAGGTTCGGCGAGGCTATCCAGGAAAAGTTGTAAAGTCAACGCTTTCCAACGAAGTTAAAAGCATTTAACGACTGGACATCTGTGAAAAAGAACGTTATAGCTCATGGGATTCCTCCAGAATAAATAATTATTCTGATTCATGGCTTTGCTCTGTCCATCGGAGGTGGGGGAGAACAAAAACTGCCACAGGGATCATCCAATATGCACCAAACTGCAGTATATGGTTCTGTTGCTTTTCGGGATTAACCATTTAAAAAACACAGCCAAATTCGCTAAAGTTTCGTCCAAAACTTGGGAGACACGAACCAAATCTAACACGCATAGTTTTTTCCCCAAATTATTATTTATTAAAAGCTACCTCATATTCTAGGGTCTTTCGGTAAAGTCACGTAGATAGGTTCAAAGAAAATAACAACAAAATTACCAAAAACTACGACGTTTTGATAGCAACACAAGCGTCCATTTCTTTTCCTGATGACGACCGCTTATGTTGCGATCGAAACGTCGTAGTATTTTGTAATTTTTTGTTATTTTCTTTGAACCTATCTACGTGAATTTACCGAAAGACCCAAGAATATTCATTCCTGCAGTCACGAAAGCTTTAAGTCAAAAGCTACCTCGTTGTACGTTTGCCTACGCCCCCCACCCCCCACCCATCGTTGACTGCTGCAAACGCCCACGGGGTCGCTGTCGGTAAAGCTTGAGAGCACCCTCGCGATCCGGCGACTGCCAGCCTGGGCTTGCGGTGCCGTACTTATCGCCGATCTTATCCACTCTTCCCGCAGGCGCCCGGGGACTACGCGTGCATTGGCAGAGGGGTGACCGACGGGGGAAAAGCGCACGCAAACGCTCGGCTCCCTCTCTCTCTCTCTACCCAGCTACTGCTGAGACAGCTCGATGGCTAGCCGCCCACACTCAGGGCTTGTTGTTGTTGTTGTCGTCGTCCGATAAACACGGTTGGCTACGTACGGTGCGAAAGACGTGCAGTGTACCAAACGTACATACGTTGCTGTTTCCATATTGTAAAGGCACAAGTCAATTTTGCCTTTTACAATAGCAGGTTGAAGGAGCTTGTCGGTCACCCTGTTTCTCGCCGTCAAGCGTGGCGGCTGTGCGCACGCGAAAGGCCCCTTTGTCAATTCACTCCTGGACGAGAGCTTCCCCAAGCCGTGAAGTTTCGCAGAGGTTATTTTATCGTACTTCATGACACGTTGGCCGGCAGAGACGAGCACATAGACGAGTGTTCTTCACTAATTTTCAGAGGAGTGGGGGGGGGGGGGCACTTTTGGCGATAAGACATCATAAGTGTGTGAGGGCCGCCACACATTTGAAACCATTGCCATTTGACAGCACGATGATGGACGGGTGTTTTCACATTTGTGTGTTGTCGGCGGCCGCACGTCATCAGGGGCCGCACTCAAAGCCATGTGGGGCCACCAGTGGCCCACGGGCCTTGCAATGAAGAACACGGACATAAGACATTGTACAGTTGGAATGATGGATTTTACTACTGACAAATTAAACCCCCAACCCCCACCCCCCCATGCCAGTCCACAACAATCTGGTCACCCATTGAAGCAATATCCAGGTGCAAATCTTGCTTAGCTTGCCGGGATCTGATGAGATTGGGTGCAGTCCAGGCGATTTTGAGCCGCTTCATATTTTGGCCAAAAAATACAAATGGTACAGTAATGTATGTATATTGAACTTCTTTTTGCACCGTACGTAGCCAACCGTGTTAATCAAAGGTGCAGAGGAAGGACCAACTAAACATAAAAAGCAGTTAGAAAAAAACGAGTTTTCAATCTAGACTTAAAAGTGCATAGGCTCCAGTGGCTTCCTAATAACAGAAAGGAAGAGCGTTCCAGACGGTTGCAGAAGCACATCCGAAAGCGCGCGATGCAGTGACCATCTTTGTCCGATGGTTAGCCAAAAGCGGCTGCGAGGATGACCGGAGTTCGTGTGATAATTTATACTCCTTGACGAGATCAGCAAGGTATCATAACACGGCACGGGGGTTTTCCCACGGACTGCGGACTCTCACCTCAAATTCTTCCCAGAAGCCCTGCTTTGACTTGTCCATGCTGTCAGCGGTCTTGCTCAGCTCCTTGACACGGTGCTCGATACTCGAAGCGCTAATTCGAGTGGCGTTGAACGGCTGCCTCGGCGCAGAGGGTGAGAAATATACCATCGGAATAATCGTCAACCAAGTACGGCAAGTCCTCGTTGAACGCACCAGGACATGCATCTTTGAAAAGTGCCACACGAAGCAAAAAACCTATTCAGCAGAAACGATTTCCCCATAGACAATGTAAAGTTCGGTGAGATACAATGTGCACACACCACACTAAGACCAGTCTGTCTATTACCCAGTGATCTCATCAGAGCCCGATTTATAAGTTTATAGTCAGACACTACTTTTGCCGCACCTCCGAATAGCACGGTTAGCTATGTACAGTGTGAAAGAAGTTCAACATATATATATACAGACACCGGTCTATGAGGCTATAATCTACATACCCCAAAGACCAGTTTGTCTACTGCCCAGAGATCTCAACATACACTGGTTAACTAACTCCTGATTATATTTCTTTTATCAAATAAGGCCCACACAGAGCTGTATAGCTCTTTTTCAGGACTGACCTCGCCACAAATGATAGCTCAACGAAGTGGCTTGTCACGTGGAAATTTATAGCAGGCAAATACTCTACACGATTGTTTCTAAATGTGGAGGGAAAAACTGGAGAAGCCGGAGAAAAATCCACGTGACCACGGGGAGCGAGACACGCAAACTCCAAACATACGGCCATCATCACGGTCGGGATTGAACCCACGACCTCATGCATACCAGGGGAGGTCTATTTACCTATTATCTAAAGATCTTATATCAGAGACTGGGCCCATCAGCCTCCTGTATGAACAGAACCACATATCGTGGGATAGAGCAGGCCTTCCGGGCCTGGATGCGAGCCGCACGAGCACGGAGAGCGGGATGACGATTCTAGATTTGAATCTTTCGTCACTGCAAGGATCCATACTCTTTGTTTTTTTGGGTAAAGTCACGTAGGCTAAAAAAAGAAAAGCAAATAAATTATATCACGACGTTTCGGAGGCAACACGAAGCTTCCGTCTTCAGGTAAAACTGTCATAGCAAAATTACTGTATCACAGTATCACAGTAATTTTGCTGTGACGGTCACACCTGAAGACGGAAGCTTGTATTGCCTCCAAAACGTCGTAATTTAATTGATTTGTTTTTCTGTTTATAACCAGCGGGATGACGCTTCAGCACCGACCTGCTTGAGATGCACCACCGTCCCAGAGGTCTCCACCATGGGGTTCTTCTTGTAATGCTCCACCAGGTCGGTGAGGGAGTCGAACTTGTCACCACCACCCACGTCGTACTTGCCGTCCTAAGCGTAGGGGGGGGGGGGTGGAGAAAAGGTCAAGATAGAGGTTAGGTGACACATTTACTTAGGAAATAAATGAATAAATAGAGGACGGTTTTGTATTGGCAAAATTTCATTTTATTACTCTTGTTATTATTTCGCTTGTTTAACCAAGAGGGCCTCACCGAGTCTCAATACTTCTTTTAGGAGGGCCCTGCCAGGTTGTTATATGTAATTTGAGTAATTTGAGATGTTTGGCCAAAACAAGTTACACTGAGTGCACCTCCTTATTCGCACGGTTGGCTACGTATGGTGCGAAAGGAGTTCAAAATACAAACACATATATTGTTTTATTTAAGCCATGGGAGGAAACAGGAGTACAAGGAGGAAACTCCACGCAAAACATGGGGAGAGAACGGACAACTTCACACAGAAAGGCGCCAGTCGGGAATCGAACCCAGGCGCTTCTTGCTGTGAGACACGAGTGTTACTCCTGTGCCACCCGGCCACCCACCCTCAACGTTTCATCACTAATTTTCACGTGCTCAACAGAGCCACGTCGAGTCCTCTCCCCTCGGCTACAGCTCCTCCACACATTTCCGACGAAGCCTCCTTGTATCCTGTCCCATCAGGTACAGCTCCTCCACACATTCAGAGGCTGCTCCATTCCTACTTGCCATCTGCCAACTGGCACCCCCTTCCCACTTTCCGTGACCGCCGCAACATTGTTTATCGCCGCGCCTCCGAATTCAGCAAGACGCCGTCCTCCGCCCACGTCGCACCTGGAATCGGATCATGATGTGCGTGATCTTGGGCCGGATCTCGTTGTTGTCGAGGCGGTCCTCGCTCGTGCGCACCGACAGCACGAAGTCTCCGGGCTTGCTTTGACTCTCGCGCACCAGGAAGCTGCCCGCACGCCCCTTCTCCGTCAGCAGCTTCTCGGCATCGCGCCCACTGATATGACCGTGGAACCAACTGCTCACGCGGAGTGCGAAGGTGAGGGGGGCAGCACGAAGATGGATGAGGCCACGGTTAGAATCAATCATCATCGTCGTCGTCGTTAGCATCTTCAGTATCATCAGCTGTTGTCTATGCGCTGTGGGATGAAGGCCTCTACAAATCTGTATCTTCTTATCATCGTCATCATCAGCTGTGGTAAATCCATTGCTTGATGAAGGCCTCCTCAAGCCCATCTCTAGCACCCTTACCCAAGCTTCACCATAACCCAATGTCCAGCTCGTCTCATCGTCATCGATGGTCTACGCACTTTCGGATGAAGGCCTCCTCACGCCATCGCCGATACAATCCATTTCACTCCTGAAAATGTATCGATCTCATCGCACCATCTCCATGGTGATTGGGCCCCTCTCCTTTGGCTACCATTCCTTTGCCAGTCTCGTCTATTGGCCATCGTCCAATACAGCGATACAGGAGTTTCATGCGTTAATGCAGGGGACACAATGTAAATGTACAGTTTTGTATAAAGTTGCATCACTCTGGGGATTAACCCCATTCAAAACCGGCCACATTGATCAAAGGATTTGTCCATGCACTCCCCGGCAGAACCGCTATCCAAGCCCCATCGCGGCCTACAGACGTACCGCTTGGAGCGATCACTACCATTATGAACAAAGCAGGAAGAAAAACTAAAATAAAATAACTATCGGTACCGAGGTTTCCACTTGGCCATGCGGGAGGGCATGTGGTACAGTTTGGCGCCAGGTATAATAGAGTGCGGTCGTATCGCTACACTTCTCTGCGGTGAGTACAATGTCTTTAAAATCAACGGCGCTGTGCATCTCTAAATAAGATTAATGCCGAGCCGCTTGCACGCTCCAAGATTCAGCGGTGAATGGGACCCACCCTGCAACTTGCAGACGTCTCAGAACGGGAAAGGGTTAATCGCTCATGAATCACTCCCGAGGACAAACGGCATTTTTGGAGAGCATTACAGAAGCTATGCTTAAGCATGGTTTTTCTTTGTTGTTATTGATCCAAGAGGGATGATGGCCATTGACCCTTACGACCTTAGGATGATAGAGCCACTCAGCTGGATTGCATTAAGGTAGAGAATAAATTCTATTACCTCTGGGCTAGCTGACTTCAACAAAAGCGAAGCCTCTTGAACCAATGCTACTGGGTATCAACATTTGACATTACGGTCAGGAGCCGCATGCAAACTATTACGTTGTTCGTATACATAAGACGTGCACCGAAATTCCAACGAGCGATATTTTACAAAAAATTGTAATATATATTACATCGGTAAAGTTACGGTGCGCGGGCAAGAGCAAAATCAATTGGAAGCAAATAAACTTTACTGCCGTAGAATTCCGCAAAGCTCATTTTCAGTCGGACTGATTTACGGGTCAATATGAGCGGCAGTACGTTTTTTACAGCGCGGCACTCGAGACGAACAGTGTAGGGAAGGAGCAGATAGGGCCAGGCCATGAAGCAAGCGCACACGAACAGAGCCCATGGGTTCTTGTGATGACCACATACGTTGCATGAAAATCGATTAAAAACGTTCTCAAGTGTAACAAGTTTCATTGTCTCGTCCCAGTCACTGATGACTGAACAACAAAAAAGCAGTTGTGTGAGATTCACTGGGATCAGCTCAGAATTTTAAAATGTATAAATACTGGTTGATAGGCATGCGTAGAGACTGCACGTTAAGGGAGGCGTGAATCGCCACCATCCAGCGTTGAAGAAGAGGTCTATAGAAGTTGACTCCATAAGTAGTTCTGTGGTATCACAAATTCTGAAGCCATCTCATGACATAACAATGCAAAGGTCTGTTGGGAAAAACGGCTGCAAGGAACGTTTCTTAACCCGACGACGTGAAATTACTCCAGCAAATTATAATTGGCGATAACATTTGGCAAACCTAAAGGAAAAAACTGTTTGGCCATACCCAGCTCTGAAATGATAAGCGTGAATGTGGGAGAACATTTAATAGGCAGTGTGTGTGTGTGTAACGATACACTTAATAATCATGGGCTTAATAAATAGCTACATGTACTCTTTGCATGTTTAATACCACTAATAAACTGTGTTTAGATTAAATAAATTCACGTCAAACGAGGACCTGCATCGTAAAGTGACGGTCATTGCCGGTAAGAAATTGATTCAAGCAAGCCTGACCCTGCTAATGAGACACTGAATCTCGAAACTGGTCCAGAGTTTGCTCGTCTTGAATCAATGCTGCCGAAATTATGCATTCCCACAAAGCCGTGCAGTCGATGCGTTCTGCCAATTTATTTTTTAATGTGGAGAGATGGATGCATGAAGGAGACATTTTATGCTCATGTATTTTGCATTAATATGGCTCTTAAATGCCTTGGCGGCTCAACGCGCCTTATATCCCATCCCATCTCAAACATTTGTAGGGGACCAAAGCAGATATGACAATCTACCCATCTGTAAATTAAGTCGTCCACACGGTCATACACATTTGGCAGGTAGTTAGAAACCAGCTCTACATTTTATGCACAGCAGAGATTGTCTCGCTCTGTGTAGAGGAGTATTGTGAGTAACCATGAGGGGGCGAACAGAAGGAGGTGTGAGCGGGTTGACAGTTAAGGATGACATAACGTCACGGGTGGTGTAAGAGGCACCTTCGGAAACAAAGGCGGGTCTGAGCTAGGGGGAGGAGCCACCCTAGGGGTTCTTAAGGGGGACCCCGTGACGGAGGCGGGGTCGTTGTGGGAAGCCAGGGTAAGGATCGGCTGCAGGGAGTCTCTCCCTCCTCGTCGCGGAAGCGGTGTTGGCTGAACCCCCGCTCCGGGCAGACGAGTGGGAGAGCCAAGGGGATAGTCGAGGATAGGGTCCCGAGAATTCAGTAAGGGTCGGCTCGGAGAGGGTTTCTCTCTCCTCGTCGCGGAAGCGGTGTTGGCTGAACTCCCGCTCCGGCAGACGAGTGAGAGAGGGCCCCAAAGGACAGCCGAGGGCAGGACCCAAATAGTATTCAGTGTCCGGGATAAAGGACCGAGAGAGAGCGCACCTACACTAGTGTGAGCGTAGAGTGTCGAGTGTGACAGTGGTTTAATAAATGGCAACAGGCCTTCGAGTATTCCTCGTTTCCGCGTGGTTCTACTGCACATGTATGGATGAATTTGCCAAGACAAGTTCAAAACACATTTGGCACGTAGGTCTGCATTCAATAATGTGTAGTAAGTATGTAGGAGGCTTGACGACAGGATCGGAGGCACACTTGTTTATTATATTAACACAGTAATTACGGGTCACTTGGCTACAGGGATGCACAACAGCTAACCCCGCTAACCTATGCCAATCCCTCCACTACGGGGCTAGGGGAGGCTATCTATCCCAGCCTGGTTAAGCTGGGATCCCGGCACCCTGAGTCTCCAGACCAGCTTAGTCTGGGCTCTCGGGGCCACGCCACCGGCTTGCCCTGGTCGGCCCTTATAAGGACAGCGAGCCAGGGGAGCTCTGGGGCCTATTCTAGCAGGTCTTCCTTCTTCTCTGGTTAAAGCTGAGCCCCCGACCCCGAGCCCTCGAGCTCATCACCTTTTATAGGACTCGCCCCCGAGGGGGGGCCCGTGGGGGATGCACATGCGGACGTCGGTGCGAGCGCCACCCTTGTGTACGGCCGTAACCCCGCCCCTTGTGTTTGTTGGCCATCCGTGGCCATGCATAATTACACCTCAACATCCGTAGCCATGCGCGATTACACCTCTACATCACCCCCCCCTGTACAGCTCGCAGCCGTCCCCGGCTGCAAAAAAAAATCAGAATAAAGGTGCATCCCTCACGAAAACCGTGTGTGTGTGCCTCGCGTAATTATTAACAAGAACAAAGAGAACCTTAACAAGAACAACAACAGGAAGAGAGAGAGAGAGAGAGAAAAAATAACCCGACGCACCCCCCCCGAATAAAACACCCCAAAACCAACATATATACACACACTCCGGACGCCACCCCTCACACTGTCCGCCAGGCCCCCCAACGGCCGACCTCACAATAGTCTGCGCGTTTTAGCGCGCGTCCTCGCGGCGGGCCCATCACAAGGGCCCGTCCCGGCACGTTCAGTGGCGATTGTTGACGGTCCGGGTGCAAGAGAGTCAGGCGTCGCTGCCGAGTGACCCCCGACCCCTCCGGGAGGGGTTGGCGGGTGTGGACCCGTCACTCCTGTTGCACCTGGGGACGGAACAGTTGATGTCAGGTTAGGCGAGCGCAGCGACGTCGGGGAGTCGGCGGAACCCTCACACGTTTGGCCATGCGTGTGTGTGTGTGAACCACGGGGCGGCGCGATGAACGGTTTCAACCTTGAGGGGTGCACATACCACCAACGCCTCCCCCATTTGACGCGAACACATTGCGGCCGCAAGACCTGTACGACCTCCACTGGCCCCCGCCACGGCCGTACCAATTTTGACGAGGTTGCCAGCGGCACCTGGGGACAGTGCAACCATGCCCTGTCCCCTGGTTTCCATTTGACCACATGTACCCGCCCCAACCGAAGCCTCTCGTTCGCCCTCTGGCGGAGTTCAGAATTTTGCACGGCCGCTTCCCGCGCCTCAGACAATTTGCTGATGTTAAATTTAACGTGTTCGGACAAGTTAGACTTCGCCTGGGGCGCCGAGAGCTTCAGCTGGGTTGACACAGGGGGGTTAGCCTCGCGCCCATACATTAAAAAGAAAGGGGAAAATCCGGTGGCCGCATGGGGAGCCATTCTGTAGGCCTGCAACACACCGGCTATACGAAGGTCCCAATCTGTCTGGGATACTGACACCTGCTGGGACAGCATAGACGTGATGGTCCGATGTAGCCGTTCCACCATCCCGTCAGTTTGTGGGTGATACGGAGAGGTCCGAATCTTCTCCGTACCCAAGAGGTCGCACACCTCACGGAGGAGTTTACCAGAAAAATTCCTACCCTGGTCCGTAAGCAGCCGTTCCGGCGCACCCTTGTCGAGGACATAGCCCTGGACAAAGGCCTCCGCGATGGCTGCT